AGTTGTTGCTTTAACCTATGTTCAGTAATGCCTGTTGTTGCCTTTGTTTGTTTTGTTTTGTTTATTTTGTTTTTTGAGACAGGGTCTTGCTATGCAGTTCAGGCTAGCCTGGAACTCACCATGTATCTCAGGCTGACCTGGACTTGGGGTGATCCTGGTGCTCAGGCTTCCTATTGCTGGAATTACAGGTATGCAGCACCATGACCCACTCAGTAATGTCCATTATAAGGAGACTATTCCTATGAAATTATCCAACAATGTACAATAAAAAATGTGTTCATCCGAAGAATGAGATGACATGCCAAGTATGTTATGAGGCCTTTTATTTTCACTTCCTGGATTTCAAATAAACCAGTGTTGGAATCTACAAACAACTGTGAAATAGGTTCAGAAGAAAACAGCAAAACAGAGCTGCTTGGCCCAGGCTGCAGTGCCCCTGCACATTATGTAACAGCTGTTGTATAATTGTGCATTTAATTCGAAACACATGTATGAAAGAGAAAACAATTACACTCAGAAATGACCCGAGAGAGAAAAGGAGAAATGCTGAAAGGATACAGACAATTCTATCGAGTCTTCAACTAGGAGGTTCAGTGCAGTCTAGGACTTTGGAATGGAACGGAACTGCCTTAGAATCTAGAGGATTGGCCCATGCCACCAAAATCTCGTCTGTCTTCTACCTTTTTATAAAGAAAATTGTACTAAAAAATGTCCACACTCATTCATTTAGTGACTGTCTGTAGTTTAATTAAAACAAATTAGAGGAAGTTCTATCAGAAATCATCTGGCCCACAAACCTGGAGGTATTTATTGTCTGTCTCATAAAAATTATGTTCACCTGTTCTTGCCTTAGGTGAATGAAAAGTTAAGCTTAAGTGCCTGTGAGATGATTATCCACATGGAGAAGGAAAGCAATTGATTCTTGAAGCTATCTGGGAATCTTCTTAACAGATGAAATGATGGGGGTGGGGGATTGGGGCCAGACCCTAGGCTTTGAAGAAAGGCAGGCCTGAAATGACACTGAAATTTTGGCCTTGTGCTTATTAGGTCTATAATTATGCAGAAGCTACTCACACTTTCTATGTCTAAAAAGTGGGGTTACCAAATGAAGATGGAATGAATACTGAGATCTGCATGTCTATCTTGAAAAAGCTAATTAATAATAGCTTGCCCATCTAAACTCTGTATTCAGGGAAGCTAGAAATTTCACTAGAAGGAAATTGGTTTTGTTAATTCATAGTAATCAGATCATCCAAAGAAATTACTCTTATTCCTGCTTGAACTTTTGCTACAGCTTCAATACAATAAACAATGTACTTAACATGAGAGTAGGTCACTTTAAAATTCTCCTTTTTGGAATTTCCCAAGTCTTATTTAAAATTGTTTTATGCTTGTCTATAGCAATGATTAACAGATGCAAACACCTTTCAAAACCAGAATTTCCTTTAGTTTTAAATGGTTTTTCACAGAAGACATTGTCACACTGCTGATTGTTGAAGACTGTCTACTTCAGTCCAGTACTCTTGAGATCCTTAATAGACCTGCTGACTTTCCTGATTCCACGTAGAAAAATAAATATAATTTAGGGATTCTGAAATCACAGTAGCTATAGTAACCCAGCACTGAAAATATACCTAAATAATTCGATTTTTAAAAGCTGGCTTAGGGCACCACTTACAGGGCCTTTATTCCTTTCCAGCCCCTGTTCTCAGGGAGATGACTACTTTGCTGCTGGCCTTGTCCTGAGACTCCTGGCGAGGGTTCTTTCGGCACATATTCTACTGAGAACTAGTGCCCTTTGGAACTCTTTCAATTTGGCTTCTCCGATTCCAAGTCTGTCCGAGAGAGAAAAGTTACCTAGGCAGTAGCATGAAAAGGATGAAAATCTAATCATAATGATGATAGTAGTAGCAGTTTAACAATACCTGGGTTTAGTCGTCAGAGCAGCTGTGCTGCATATCCTTAGCACAAGTTTCTGGTTTGTAAATTAATTCATCTGAAAATCGTGCCCTGTCTCCTCATGCAATTTCAGTGTTGGAGTGCTGGTTTCGAAAGGATTTAGGTTCAAAGTCAAAAGTTTTCTGCCCTAGGAGTTAAAAAAAGTAGAGTCCTTTCATTTCTTGCTCCGGGCCTGTTCATCCAATCATATCCCAATATGCAAATAAAGTTTAACCACTGCAGATAAAAAGGAACAAATAAAGCCAAGTGCTATATTAGAATCATATTTGCTGAGCCGCTCGTCTGTGTTCCAGGAGCAGAAATAGAAATGTCTTCAGCAAAATCAGCCATACCTACCCCACTGGCTGATTTGAAGATTCAGTATACTAAGGTTAGTACAACTTGTATGTGCTTCTTTGCCTTGGGTTTCCATAAGGTTTGAATCATAAACTATTTAATTTAACTAAACTTGTGTGAAGAGCCTTTTTCAAATACAATATAAAGTCTTATTTAAAAGGAAAGTCTGGGTTTGGCCGTCCAATCATATAATAAATTCTAAATTCTATTAGACAATGTTTCATTAATTTATTTCTTAAAGTGAAAGGAATTCCCTTCTTTGTGAAAGATTCTTGTACCAGCATTCAGTGGACTTTAGTAAGCAGTGCCTTGTATTTAAGAACGTCATTACCAGAGAGCCAGGAAATTCTTCTGAAGGAGAGGATTGTGGCCACATTGTGAGGAGTAAAAACAGTAAGATCGTTTTTAAAGGTTGGTTCAGAGGCTTTCAGATCCAGAAGGACCACTGTTGTCACTGTTCCAAAACAGGCTGGCAGCTCTTGTTATGTCCAGGTTCCAGCTGAAATTTCCTATCAACTAGTGTGTAGGCCCTCAGTCCAGGGTTAAGATTTCCAGGGTAATTTTACTTTTCATAGAAACATATAAATTAAATTATTTTCCTATAGAAAGATTTAATGTAGGAGTGAGTAGAAGCACTTGTGTGAGTTTTGGGAAAGCCGATGAGAGCTTGGTTCCCAAACTAAAACACAAGTGATAGATTTTTGAGATCTTTTAACTAATAAAGCTGTTTCACTATCTCACCAAAATCTGTACCCTAGAAATGGCAGAGGCATATGATGCTCACAGATATTCTGAATTGCTTTACATTTTCAAAAGCGGAAAGAAGTAATGGGTTAATGCCCTCTTTCCATGATCTTTAAATTTCCTTGGAGAGGATGAGACCAAGGTGTTCTACAGAGGAACTAAATGTTGTGACTTACATCAAGAAACCTTGTATTCTCTCTTCGGTAGAAAGTTTAATAGGGTTGGGTGCCCTGGTTTGAGGGTTTCTCAGAAGGGGCACATGAGAGGATGTCATCCACATATTGTAGGACTTTAGATAGAAGGAGATTTATCCAAATAAGTGAGGGCTGTCTCTAAACCCTTGGAGCAAAAGATACTGAGATTAACTTAGTATCCTGAACAGAGGGGGTCTTTAAATGTATAAAGAAATTGTGAGTCAGGGTGGAGGAGTAAACAAAAAAAAATGTGTCTTTTAAATCTAAAGCTATAAACCACGCAGTTTCTTCAGAAACCTGGGATAAAAGGATATACAGGTCAAGTACCATAAGATGTAAAGCATTACTGCCTACTTTGCTAGTCAAAGACCTTGAAATAGACTCCATGTTCCACTGGGTTCTTGAGTGCCCAAAACTTATTACAAATCTTAAGGAGGCCTTGCACTTTTGTTGATTAGGGGCTGAAATCCCCTTTCAGCCTCCAAGTATCAACAGATACTATCACTGGTGAGGAAAAGTAGTAGTATCCTTTAACTGAATGAGTATAGGTAATAATTTGTTTCACATTTTTTAATAGCCCAGAATTTGGGGATTACCTCTGTCTCTAATAGGGGAAAAGGGAGAGCCCTAATCTTGGGTGCATACAAATAGTGGTATTTAGAAGAGATAAAATATCTCATTATCGCAAAATGGGTGTGCTTTTTAGACTAATTAGAAAGGCATGAGAGAATAGAAAATTGTGCCAACTGTATCTAAAGGGCTATTAAAAATATCTGGCTATACATTTCCTGGTTATAGCTCTTGAGGCAGGAAACAGTGAGGACCCCCTAGAGATAACTGTTTAACACAAAGATAGGGGGGAAAAGCAGCTTTTAATGATGCCAGTGGCTTAGAGTGACTCCTCTTCTTACATCTACAAAGCTTGATTCCACCATAATTTCCCTGGCAAGAGAGCAAGCAGGATTTACACAAAGGAGAGCAGCAGAGAGGGGGAGATGAAGGATTCAGGCAGGACTTTCTGAGTCTGTTATGCTCCTTTGGTGGCAGATTATACAAGTTCTTCTGTCTATTCAGGAACATTCTACAAAGAGCATAGTTACCTACTTATCCCATAGCTGCCTAATAACAGAGTTAACCCATAGTTGCCCAATTCATATGTAGGGGTGGTCTCCTCCCTCACTCTGATGGTTGTATTAACTGAGGAAGGCAGCTGGGATTGCAGAAAACAGAGAACAAGGCTGCAGTAGCAAGAAGGATCTTAATCTCCCTCCATCTTAGAATTACAGTTTGTTGGAGCTCATGGACAGAGAAGGCAGTGTGATTTCTAGGAACCTGTGATGTGTGTTCTGGGACCACTCAGTCTTATTGCTGAACCAAACGAATGGAAGGGTTTAACCCTAGACCTTTGTTTAGGACAGGTCTACATTCAGTTATCGCCATTATACATTAGGCAAGGGATGGGCAGCTTCTTGACCTTTTGGCGGTGATCCTGATCACAGCATTTATGGAAATGTCCTGGCTTTCCACAGCTTTAGAAAGCAGATGAATTTTACCTTCAGTGATCTGGGAAACTGGCTGGGCCTCTTAGAGGGCCAGCACAGGAATAGCTACATTCTGATCTCATTTCTCTTTTTCCTTGGCTAATGTATAAGCTGATTTTCTCATTGCTGAGGCAAAATACATGATACCTGAATTTAAAAGAGGAGAAATGTATTTAGCTCACAATCTTTAGAAGTTTTAGTCCACAATTGTCTGGCTCCAAGGCAGGGTAGCTTGGCAGAGGGACAATGCAGAGGAGAAATGCGGATGAATGCAGTTCATGGTCGGCAGAAGACAGCAAAAGCAAGCAAGGGAGAGGACCACAGTTCTTTCTGTCCCTTTTTCCTTCCCCAGGCTACTTAGCATGGGTAGCACTCACATTTTTAGTCCTAGTAGACTTTTGCCTAGCATTGCACCATGAATCAATCCCAGCGTCACACACTCTAGTTCCAGCTGCCTCTCAAAAAGCCACATGAGGTTTTGGAAGAACATCTAGACCCAAGCCATACAGGCTGCTCCTGGTTCTGGATGGAGAGCAATCTCAGTGGCTATCCCGAACAGAAAAGGTAAAGAGCTAGTATCAGGACCAAATGCCTTCTTTTGTAATTTTCTTCCTATATCTGGGACACATTCAATTATAAATTTATCACTGGGAATTATTTGTCCTTCTGAGGTGACTTTGAGAGCAGCAGCAGTACTATTCGCTTTTATGGGCCCATAGGACCCCATTTTCTTGTATGTTGTTCCCCAAATCTGCTCTAACTCCAGGAGAATGATAGAAACAAGCTACTGAGTAAAAGCAGGAGTGCAAATCTCACCTCTTCATTGTAATCACAGTTAACCACAGCATACTGTGAACAGAGGAAAAAAGAAAAATGAAAAAGCACTTCACAATTAGTGTCTTACTTCCTATCAATCTTAGAGGCGCCTTCAAATCTGAAACAGCTGACTCCGTAGAAACCATGTAAAACCTAGCTGTTGACTCATGAAATTCAAGAAAAAAATCACAGACAAAAGCTGAAAGTTGGAAGAGCATTTATTGGAAATAAGAAGAAAATCAGCTCCTGACTGGGAGGAGTCCCAAACAGGTCGCCAGAATGATGTTCCATCCTGAGCCTTTCATGGGAATTTGCTCAGCTGTCCAGCAGCTACCTGCTTCATGGATTTTAAAATGAACCATTGGAAATGGGGCTGTCTAAACCAGTTACTCAGTATATTGAGTTTAAAGGGAAACAATTTTAAAGGAAACCTGGTTATTTGGTATGTTTAAGTTTTTTTTTGTTGTTGTTTGTTTGTTTTTTCCAAGCCTGGCACTGAGTGCAGGGAGCAGTTCAAACAGGAAACAGAAAATCATGTTGTCGCTGAGGATTTAGCTAAGTGGTTCTGCTGCCTGCCTCACAATTGCAAGGACCTGAGTTGTATACCTGCTACCAAAAGAAAAAAAAAGAGAGAGAGAGAGAGAGAGAGAGAGAGAGAGAGAGAGGAGAAGGGAATGCAAAAAGAATTAAAATGTGTTCTGTGTACCAGCTCCCTATGGTGAATATAATCATTATTTTTTTTAAAAAAGTCTCTTTTCTATAAAATGGAATACTATTCAGCCATAAAGAATGAGAAATTAGAGTTATTCATAGGAAAATGGATATATATTGAGGATATACTGCTAAGTGAAATAAATAAGACACACATGTGTAAATACCAAATAGTTTCTCTGGTGTGAAAAGCTATGATAGTACATAAGATCCTAATGGGATAACTGACCATGTGAAATAGGAAGAAAAGGACTAAAGGTGTAGGGGAAAGTGGGAAGGGTAGGGGAAAGGTAATAAGGGAAAAGAAAAAAATATGAGAAGTTGAAAAAATGGAAATAAAGTGTTTGTAAATGGGGAAGGGAGGAGGGGTGAGGGGAAGGCAGGGACAAGGGGGAAAAATGAAAACCAAGACCTGTCATGTAAAGGTACAAGATCCCAATAATGAACATAACTGTATTGTATACCTAGATTGTACCAATAAACTCAATAAAAAGAATGAAAAGAAAATCAGGTTGTTATCAAGATACATTACTTCCACAAATCTAAAACAGATTTCATAAGTATTATGATAAGCATTCATTATCCCTAGACTACCCTATATAACCACGAAATGTAATTACAGGATGGTAATTATTCAAATACATATGGTCATACAGGTAGCTAAAAGGCAAATGGCAATGTAAAGCTAAGAAAATTGAAATATAATAAAGATGATTAAGGTAGCTCCTAAATTCTCCACAGCTCAGGGGCAGAAAATGATGCTGAAATAAATACCTGGCCTTTACAGCTAAATCAGCAATCATTTTATCCATACTCTGTTCTCTCTAATTCCTGAAAGGTTTGCTTGTGGAATTATATAACTAATTCCTAACTCAGGCTACTACTGCCTACTGCTCTAGACTCTTCTGATCTCATTCTTGGCTTATGAAAGTAGACTCTGGAATAATTCATAGACTCTAGCGTTTCTACATCAAAGAATGTTTGGTACTCTAAAATCAGTATTTCTAAAGCATCCATGTGATCCAGGATATAGTTCGAGCCTCTTACTTGGGGGGATCAAAATTCACCACAAACCAACTTCATATTCATTGTCAGGCCTTGTCTATGACTTGATTCAGCAGGAGCGCTCAGTGTGGGGCAGTTTCTTTACTCTGTTGTAGAAAATCACAAGATCGGTCCTTCTCTTTGCACATTGTTTTTCATTTTTGTGACCAACCCTCTCTCATTCTATCCTTCAAAGCGTGTTCATTCAGCCCACCTTCTTCTCTCCCATGAGTCTCACTATGCGACGTACTAACTAAAGCGCTTCTTTAGCTCTTGGTACAGTCTAGCCTTACTGGCTGCTCTCCATATGATTACCTGCTCCTCTTAGATCAGCCGTGGTGAACATACGGCATGCATGGTACTTGTTTTTCTTTGAAGACAAAAGATGTTAGTGTATGAGTTTTTTATATATAAACTAAACCCTCAGTATTCAGATAATTGAGTGCTCGCACTTGAGATAAATGAGCAGGTTTGGGGTTAGTGTTCGGGCCCTCATCTCTACAAGGCCACCACCAGTCATAGACTGCACACTTCTGGAGGCAGGGCCGAGACTAACTCATCTCACATTTCCCCCTGTATCTTCCAAAGTGCATCTCTCATACTTGCTCATTATTTGACAAAAACTTTCCTGACAAAACAGAGTGTGACCATTCAGTATTATGGTAATGTAAGCATAAGTTCAAACACGCTTGGGTTCACAATGTTCTCCTCTATTAGAGGTTAGGAGTGTGCGATGCAGAGCTGGGGCTGGTGATTTGGGAATATCTGCAGATCAGCGCCTCGGTGGTATGAAGGATAATAAATGAACTGAGTTTTACTTAAGTAAATTTCATTTACACAAATATTAACTGACTTTAATCTGAAGAAGAAATTTTACATACAGTTTATATCCACAATTCTGATACTAAAACAAGATGGTATATACATGTTGCAATGATGTATTCACCAAGAAATGAGATGAAGGAAGTAAAACAAAACTATAATATATTGAGCTCATATTATTCAGAATTTCAAACGGAAATTTATCACAAATCTAAGGATAAAAAGACTCAAGTAAAAACTGGAAAGTCTCACTATGAGGCTAACAAAACAAAATCAACTCTATATGTTCTCTTTTTATTCTGTTTAGTAAAATTAAATTGTAAAAGGGTAGAATTCTAATTATATTTATTACAGAATGATACATATTCAGAGTTAGAGAGATAAAGACATATGGCTTTGAGGGCAAGGGGAAGGCAGTATTGGCAAGTTTTGAAAAGTTGAATTAAAAATCTAACAGGTATGACAACGTCTGTGGTTTTTCATTGGAAATTTTATGGGCTCATATGTGGATATTTAACTTTAACACAAAGCAGAATTAATAAACAATCATTTGAAATAGTAGCACATTGTTTTAGAAAAAAAGAGTAGATACAATTGGAGAAACGAGGGAAATCTTCATGAGGAGATAATTTATTAAAGCAGAATTGCAAGGAGAAGAAGAATGTAGCAAAACTCCCACCTGAGGAACCTAATGAATAAAGGTGTGGAGTAAAGAAGGGCATGGCACTGGAGACGGTAGAGTGAGGCCAAAGTGATGGGTAGCAGAAGGGAACAGCAGGACCACAGGTTGGAAAAGGGCTTTGGAGCCAAATCCAAAACCACCTCACCAGCCGTGCTAAGGATCTTGAAGAACAGAATCAACAAAGTGTTCGGACGAGGCATGCAGAGAAAAGTGAACTTGGTTAGGCGAGGAAGATTCTCGTAAGGGGGTAAAAATTAAATTTTAATGAGGTAGATGTGGGACAGGGAGAGGTTTAAAAATTAGGAAGGAAAAAAGAGGTGTGAAAACTGAATAGCAATTATATGGTGGGGGGAGAAAGACAGAGAGATCAGGGGCTTGAATAGAAGGGTACAGTAGCCAAAACTCACTGACCTGAGTTTCAGACACACTGACTGAAATGTTTCCCACTTCCCACTAGAAAGACTAGTGGGCCGGGGACTTAGCTCAGTGGTTCTGCCGACTACCTTGCAAGTGCAAGGACCTGAGTTTGATCCCCCGTACCAAGAATGATTTTTTTAAAAAAAGGAAGAGACAGACTAAGTGAGAAGGGCTAAGGGTGCATAAAAGTAAGTGCATTTTAAGACTAATGATGGGATTCTACAAAGTGTTTCTGATAGCTTGTACACTGCTTCACTCTGATAGGAGCTGTCCCAGTCAGGACTTGAAATTTATCTTCCTTCAAGTTGAAAAGATGACATTTTTTTCTTCGTGAAGGATAATATGATAATTTTGATAGATATCACTGGGAAATGTTTAATTTTCACTGACTTATTATCAGCATAATGACTAACATAAACCTTGGGTAATGGTGTTTTGATACATTCAGGATTGAGCTATTGATACCTATCTTTAAGTATCAAGTAAGGATGGATATCAGAACTAAGATATATTTATACAAGTCCAGCACATAAGGCAACCTTCTTTCAGAAATATATTTATCAGGGCCAGGGATTTGGTTCAGTGGTTCTGCTGCCTGCCTTGCAAGCGCAAGAGCCTGAGTTCAATCCCTGGCACCAAATAGAGATAGATAGATAGATAGATAGATAGATAGATAGATAGAATAGATAGATAGAATATATATATATTTATCAAATATCTGTGATTCAAAATTAAATGAACTAGTTCATGTTGTCAGTAAGCTGTACTACAGATTACCTAATAGTTATCTATGATTGCTTCATATATTAATAATGAAATGAATAAATTAGAAATAAAGAGATGAAAAGAAAGAAAAAAAATCCTAGCATGTCAGAAACAAACTATAGCCTTATCCAACGTAAAAGGGTATTCTTTAATTTAGTTTTGTCAGTTATTTTTATCAATTGAAAGAAAAATGAAAATTAAATTGGTTTATCAATGAAATACAAATTCAGAGGTGCAAAGTTGAAACTGAGACATTAGGAATTACACTGATGGTTTTTACTACTTCTGTTCTCATGTAGTGCACATAGAATAATATTCTAATTTTCTGCATGCACGCTCTTTGTATTACTAAGGAATTTAGTACCTGATCCCTGAAAACAAGTAAATTAGCAGATGCTCTTATGAAAATAGCATTTTTAAAATGTTTCCTACAGTCTGTATTTTCAAGCATTGAAAAACTGTATACCTTCAAGAAACTTTTAAAATATCACTTCATTTTAGTGTACAAACAAACATGCACGTGTATATGTTTGTGTGTTTCTATGTAAAATGTCAGCTACAACCAAGACATTTTTAGTTGGGAAAATTTTTTAGGCCTTGTGTGGTGTTTCAGTTTAAATTCATAAAAATTTCCAAAGGTATGCTTGAAAGCTTTTAATGTACTTTATCTGTATCCCTGCAGATCTTCATAAACAATGAATGGCATAATTCAGTGAGTGGCAAGAAATTTCCGGTCATTAATCCTGCAACGGAAGAGATAATTTGTGAGGTAGAAGAAGGAGATAAAGTGAGTTATTGAATTCTAGCTCTGTTTTATGTCAGGTTCCTCTGATTCTCACCATTCTGAGCTCCCAAACCCCACTGAAAATTCAATAAATGCCTTGAACGCATGGATCTTGGTGCAGACTTAGCTCATGAAGGGCCCTTGGTCATCAGGTAATGATGATGGCTGCTATGGTCGAGGTATTGTAGCTATTTCTTTTCATGTAGTTTTCCAATGGAATAATGTGTAATAGATTTATTATACAAACAGAGTTTATAGAAAAGTTCTAATCACATTTGAAAGAGGAAAGAAAACCTTTATTTGTATAAAACCATTGTTTTTTTTAACTCGCTATATGAATTTTTAAATTTAATATATGATTTTTAGACAACTTATTTTAGGCAATATACTGCGAAGAGATTTTATTAAAAATCATTAAGTTAATATTAATGAATACATTTAAAATCACAAGTTGAATGACTAGTTAATATATATAGTTACATTCCAGCCGAAGTACTGAGACAATTCTTATTTCTTTTTGTTTTTTTTTGGTATGGGGGATCAAACTTGGGTCCTTGCACTTGCGAGGCAGGGAGCAGAACCACTGATCTAAATCCCGGGCCCAATTCTTCTTATTTCTAAATGCTGTATTAATTTAATACTTAAAGAAACCTTAAGAGGAAGATATTATTTTAGCTGTATTTATAAATAATGATAAAATAGCAGATCAGAAAGGTTGAATACTTTACTTAATATTATATAGGTGGGCAGGGGATGTAACTCAGCGGCACTCCAGTTGCCTGGCAAGTGCAAGGTCCTGAGTTCCACTCTGGTACATGAAAGAAAAGAGGAACTTATTGCTAATAAAATCTTTCCAAGTGTCAGGCGCATGAAGCCCCAGTTATTATGGGCTTCTTCCAAGCCTTCTCGAATCTTCCCAGATAAGGCTGTTTGTTTTGTTTTTTTCTATGTGGTTGTGGAACATTGTATTTGACTATAACCCTGGCATTGCAAGGCCATAAGTCCAGGATCTTATAATTTACTTAGTCACAGCAGACCTAGTGTTCTGGAACTGACCCTAAATAATGAGCCAAAAGCTTTGGGGATTTAATGTGAATAGAAAGGAACTAGCAATGACTTGCAGTGGTAACACAAAGAAGGGATGAAGGGCCGAAACAAATGCAGTTCACAGAAGTTCAGATATGGGTGGGAACTGTTTCCGCATCAGTGGTTCTGTGAGGCTGTAGTGACTAATCCTGAAAACTGCTTCTACTGCATGACTTAACAAATAGTTGGGGATAAAAGCAAATGTACATCAAAGTAAGTGTTTATGACAAGAGTAAAAGATCTGATAACTATTTTCTTCATCTGTGAATAAATACGCAAATGTACGATGTGGGAGTGGCTGAAGCGTTCACTCTCTCCTTACCAGTGCTTAGGAGGAATTTGAGAGCCTATCTTTCAAATTGTTTACATACTCAGCAAGTGGGTCTTTACTTAAAAAATTTTAAATGTTGTATGCACACTTGTTACTACTGCTACCAAATCTGAGTTAATGTACCAAATTGTTTTTAGGCTAATTAAAAAATTATATCTCTATAAAGCTAATCTTTGAATAAAAATGGTAGCTCTGAAATAAAAAAAAAAGAAGCAAGCAAACAATCAACAATGAAAACAACAACGTTTTAAGCCCAATGGCTTTTAATATAATAAAAGCTTTGTTGCACAATGGAATCACTTAAAAGTTCATTTATGATATAAATATCATGCAAGTTATATATGGATAAAATGATAGATTTAAAAGATAGCTGACCAAATTAGAAAACATTTATTAACTGCCATTTAGGCCTAGAATAAATAGAAATTAACTTTAATACAGATAGCAGTAAGTATTCCTTGCAAAGGAGACATTATCTGAATAACTCGGCAGAGCTATAAGAACTAGATTTGAGTCAGATCTGAGATCATATTTGGGCTCTACACTGCTGGATTTCATGTTCATGGGGTCTACTCGCCTGGGAAACAAGGGCCATGCAGTTCACTATGGTAACTTGGGGCCGTAAAGATCGTGTCCCAGTGCCTTGAGCTGAGCAGGCTCTTAACAAATAGCTATCATCAAGCTGGATTAGTCCGGTGCGGAGTTAATGATGTTGGAATAATACTTGAGGCCTAAACATGTGTAGGATTTTGAAAACAAAGAACTGCGCTAGTAGAACATTCCTGGCCAGGGGAATCGCAGGGATGATAAGGAGCTGGGTGAAAAAGGGTAGTAAAAAAACACGAACACAAATATTGGACAGGAGAGATGAGCCCAAGAATATTGGACTTTGACGACCAAGCCTAGGAGTTTGGCCTTGGGACTGTAGAGAAAAAGGAACGGCTATAAGCTCTGAAAAAGAAAGTGATAAGACAAAATTATATGAAAAAGATTAGCCTGGTAGCAATAGGCAACACAGGAGGAGCAGGCTGTCAGCAATGTAAAACAGCAAAACCCTGCAAGAGGAGCGATATGACCGGAACTATATTACAATGGATAAGAATTGCTGAGAGTTACAGTATTTTAATGTCACTTTGAATTCTAGGAGTATAATATGAATTATAAGTATCCAGAAATATTTAATGTAATGTCTCTTGTGTACAAAATGTATATCAGGGGTTACCTTACTTCATCTTCAACACGACCTTGTGAAGTCACTTACCTTGAATTTACAGATAAGAAAGCAGAACTTTAAAGACTGTGTCACAGCATTTCACGTTAGAAGAGAGTAGACCCTCTGAGTCCACAATTCCTCCTCTGCAGATTCCACCAGCCCTGGTGATGTTGCTGACATGAACTATGAAATTCAGTCTACCCAAGAGGTGTCTAGACTGAATGTGAGCAAATATATTTTCTTATCATCATTCTTGAAACAATATAACATAACTGCTATTTGCATAACATTTCTCTGATAGTAGGTATTATGAGCAATATAGAGATGATTTAAAGAATATGTGAAAATGTATGTAGGTTATTATGAAAATTCCATGTCAATTTAAATAAGAGACTTTATCAGTGTGGATTTAAGTTATCTGTAAGGTGGTCTATGGAATCAAATCCTCTTAGATACTGTGGGATAATTGTTACTTGTGAAATATACGATAGTGGGGTGATGATTTGACTGTATGTGCCTCCCATTTGATTAAATATTTCAAAACATCAGTCCCTTCAATGTAGAATTATTCTGTCAACAGCAGACTGATGAGGAGAATGCTATATGAGGATTGTGTGTACCAGCTCTTCTGGATAGATGGTTGGATGGATTGATCAGGAGATGGTTGGATGCCTCAAAAATTATCTAACCAATAAGGAGGAATTTAAATACAAATCTCGGTTATCTTGTTCCAAACCTATAAATTCCCTACCATTGCTCTACTTACACTCCTATAAAATTAAACATCAGATGTGAGAGAAAGATGACATAATTCACCAGACACAGCACAAGAATATCTTTATTTCTAGCAGCATTCTCTAAGGAACTGTTTTTCACGTGCAGAGTACTTTGTCTCGCAGCCAGTTCCTCCGTATCCCTTTGGGGGGCCAGGACCCCTCTGAGAGCCCATGTCTGGCTAAGACCAGCGGCAGAACACCAAGCAGAAGGACTGAAATGAAAGCTGTGTCACACAGGTCTGTTTAAACGCAGAGCTGCGCGTGTCTGATAAGCTGTGGTGTTCACAGATCATGCCGGAGACTCAGGTCCTTATGGTTTGCTTCTCTGTCACTTTCCCTAAGCAGTGTTTAGTGAATTTAATTGGAAAATGGTAGAACTTAATGTCCAATTATAAACAATATGATTAATTCAATGCTCAAAATATACAGTCATTTGTCAGGTATAGCAAGTAATAGAGCCATATATATTTATTATATATTCATCATTCTCCTAAGTTTTATAGTTTTTTATAGTGAGATACACTCGTGTGATGAATTACTGTGAAGAATATTTGCTTGTAGTTTATATTACTTAATTAGACCAGATTATACCTCCAAAAAATCTCTTGTTCCAAATAACCTTAGTTTGGTTATAAATACAGATAATCCACAATTTACAAAGGTCAACTTCCAATTTTTAACTTTAGTAAGATGCAAGTGCAATACACATTCAGTAGAAACCATACTTGGAATTTTAAATTTTGATTCCCCCACCAGGCCAGCACTACTAAGCAGAACAATATCCTCCTTCAGTGCTGAGCACCAACAGCAAACCACAGCTCCCAGCCAGCTACACGGTCTATTTGTACACTGCCAATATGACACGGCATTAACAAACTAAGTGAAACATCCAACGTTCTACTATAAGATAATCTTTAAGCATTCTGAGCACCTTTAAGGAGGTTAAGCTAAACCATGACTTTCATTACATCAGGAATATGAAATATATTTTTTAATTACACTATTTGCAACTTATCATGTGTTTATGGGGAGGCAACCCAATCAAACATCAAGGACCACCTGTATTTAAAACTATTTTTATTTAGCTGCACTTTAATTTTTAGACTTATAAGTTGGAAGCTTCTTAACTGAATGCAGGCTAAAGTGGGGACATATTAATTTGAGGTCCAGAACTCTCCAAGAGGGAGGCTTCCTCATTAAAAGATTCAGCTTGAGCAACTTAAAAAAAAAAGTGTCACTTCCTCCTGCTCACTCTAATTCTGAAACAGAATTACAGCTTCTGAAAACGTTGCAAACTACTGGCCTGTAGTGTGGTCCTAATTTGTGAAGTTCCACACAGTAGTCAGTCCTGTGCCAAAAACTAGGAAGGTGAGAGGAATGTTGGAATTTAATGCACTTGCAATTTATTTGTGGGAAAACAAACATATGAAGTAATAATGTAAGGATGGTGATATTGATTGCAGGTATATTTGTGGGAAATTAGAAAGGGTCGGTACAAGGAAACATAAGGGAATGAAATAACCAAGGATGATTAGGAAAAAACTAGAGTAGTAGATTTGGTTTAGAAAAACACAACAGAGAACATCATGATGGAAGGCAACTTGAGTGCAGGGATTGAGTCAAATTATGAAAGGAATAGAAAGTATGGTAAAGAGCAAAGTACCCATTGTTAGGGCACCTCCATTCAAACTCAGTTCATCCACTTTTAGTTCCTGACCTTGAGCAAATCTTACTCTCTTATCCTCTGTTAAATGGAGAACATCTTAATCCCATGAAATGGTTGAGAATCAAATGAGTTAACATAGCTACAGTTATTAGAACATTACCCAAAATACGGTAAACACTCAGGTATTAGTAAACTACTGAAATGTTGTTAACGTGTAATCTAGGAAATCAAGCCTGTGTCAGATGTGAGGAGCTCACCCATCTAAAGAATATCAGCAGGTGTCAGTCCTACCTACTGTAGTTGAATATATAGAATGTGGTAGTCTTGGAGCTAATAGAGACACAGTGTTTGTTTATGAGTAGCCACAGTCTGTTCTAAAGGATTATTCCCATTGGATGTGCTCTGCCCATGTGTTGAGCGTATTGAATTGCATTCCCTCCGACTTACAGGCAGATGTTGAGAAAGCAGTGAAGGCCGCAAGACAGGCCTTTCAGATCGGCTCTCCATGGCGTACTCTGGATGCTTCAGAGAGGGGTCGCCTCCTGTACAAGCTGGCTGACTTAATTGAAAGAGATCGACTGCTGCTGGCAGTGAGTATAAGGAACCCGGATGCATAGATCCAAGGCATTCGCTGTTTGAACTGGCAACTTGATTGGTTTTAGTGAGCGCTACATGCACACGCTATGAAAAACAGAAAAAACTTCATCTCCAGCTAACAGATGGGACTGTTACCCCTGGGGGTTGTTCTCTCATAGTCACCTGCTTGCTAGTTCTGGGTGATGTTAACTTCTGCTCCCGTAACTGATTGTACAGGATAGGAATTGGCAATTTCTCAGTTAAGCCAAATTAAAGAAATTTCTTTCCTTTACTCTAGAGTTTAAACAAGCTAATATGGTAGCACACAGAGCCTTCAACAGAGTAACATGTGTGAATCTTCTAGAATATTGTACTAGGTCTCTCAAAGTTACCTGTCCCTGAACTCCTACTAGAATTCTTTGTTGAATGACTTTGTTGAAGGTATTCAAAATAACATAAATTTTATTTCTTCTCAGTTCCATAATTGAAAATACTGCTAAAGAAAATTCTTAGATGAAAGGCTCAGATGTTTTGCTTGTGTAAATAGATTGGCTATATTCATCTGAAATCCAAAAATTAAAATGACTTTTTGGATACAGAATCTATGTAATCTTTGTAGTGATCCTCCTGCTTCGGCCCCTAGAGTGCCAAAAGTGATTATTGAAATATCCTTAAAAATCACTAACACTAAATTGTCTCCATGGCAAAATCTTATTACAGTTCTGATCTGATCAAGGAGACTCCACAAGTCTCTCACCAGTGGGATGTTTCAAATTGTGACCAAGTCTTCAAGTGTTGGTTAGCAGAGAGCACTCAAATAGGACAGAAAGAGCACTCAGGTTAAGCAGGTGGAATCTCTTACCCATTTTACCTAGATCACGCAATATGACCATATATATATACATGCTATTTTAACTATTTTAGAATCTTTTTTAAAAGATAAAATTAGTCAAGATTATTTAAAATTTATTATGTGTCTTAAAATTCTCTAGTGCATACTCAACATCTTCATCATATATATTTTCATCTAAAATTCTTCTGAAATTTTAAATTTAGAGAACAATCTGTTTTTCAGACAATGGAAGCAATAAATGCTGGAAAATTATTTTCTAATACGTATATGATGGATATAGAAATGTCTATAAGAGGATTACGCTACTTTGCAGGCTGGGCTGACAAGATCCAGGGCCGCACCATACCTGTAGGTAAGGAGCACTGGGAGACCTCTGGGGTGAGTCAAGTGTGTGGCAATTACTACAGAGCTGAATAATTTCAAACTTTCCCTCCTGAAGAGGTCAGCCAAACAAAGCAAAATTATTTTCCCCTGAAGTTAAGCCAACACAATTCTAAACTTGGGAATTCTGTGAAGATTCATCAAATGATTTTTAACATTGTTTCAGCATAATCAGGCAGAATATAACACCATGAATATTTTAGAAACTGTTAAAGTAGAAACATTCTTAGGCTATAATTACTGATTGGAGGCAGCTATCTAAGGGCCAAACTCAACAAAGCTTCCCTCTGACATTAATTATTTTGGGCTTCATTTCCATTGTGACATTTATACCTTTTCCATAATGTAATTAAAGCCTCTTCCCATGCTCCGCTATGGGACAACTGTGGTTATTTGGAACCGTTCAAACTCAGTACAGTTAGACCAGAATCATTGAACTAATTCATATCATTTGTTTCAAATAGCTTCAAAACAACCTGAGGCTGTGCTTATAGCCTGAGATACAAATTTGTATATACAAGTGTGCATGTGTGTGTTATTTCTGTGATATATTAACATAAAAAATAGAAATATAAAAATATTTTATATGAAGAAGCATCAATAGGGGAAATAGTAAGGGTGAAATTTAACTTATAAAAATGTGTTAACTTTACCAATTAGAACTGTCCGTAACATGCATCTGTACTCTAATTGGAGCATCCGGTAAGTTACAAGTGGTAGAAAGTAAAAAGAGGGGAATGAGACCACAGATTCCAAGAAATGTTGGTATTTTAGTCGCCATATTTGCCTTCAGACCAGATGGAAAAAGCCATTTAAAGTACATATGGTCTTCAGAAAGCCAAGCCTTGCTGTGACAGCCAGGGGGCTCCCGTGGTGACTGAAATACAAGCAACAATGATACTCTCAGGATGACCACATCACACTCGGAAACATGTCAATCAGTCAGCTCTGGACAGAAAAGAATTGTCCTTTACATTGGCCATTTCTTAGCTGGATGTGCAGAGCTTGCTTTTGGTTTAGTAAACAAAGGAAAACAACACTTCAGAGCAAGTCAACAGTAAGACTCATTCCTTCTAGAAAGACAGTTTTAATTTTAGTATTTTAAAAATTATATTACTTTTTAAAAGGATTAAATTATTGGTAAAACTTTGAGCTGCCAAAAATTACACTTGAATATGATTCTTATTTTAGCTAGATATGACCCTACCTCCTTTCCCTTTGTTGTCCTATACAACCTTGAGAATAACAATATTATGGAAAACATCTCTCCCTAATGACAAAGAGCAGAATTATCCTTCAGTTCCTTTCTAATTTTGCATGTTTTCCTTTATTTGATTCAGTTTTATGGCACTATCATTCCAAATTCCTATTTCAGTGCTCCCATTTCTTTTCTGTAAGTTAAGATATGCATTCTTTTCTATGTCTAATTGCTGTTTTAGTCTTCCTCTCTCATCAGTTTCAAACCTCTGTCCTGCAAATGTCAAGTACCTCAGTTCTCTATAGGGCTGGGTGTGTGCTTTCTTTTCCAGATGGAGACTTCTTCACTTATACAAGACGTGAACCTATTGGTGTATGTGGCCAAATCATTCCTGTAAGTTGCTCTCCTGTACGATTAAGAAAGAAAACCTAACTCTAATTTGGCAGCAAAATTTCTCCATAACAAATGGATGCTTGCTTACTGGTTAAATGTGATGTGAATTTCAACAAGTAGGACTTTCAAAACTAGTCTTCCTGTGACCGAATTTCTGGGATATAATTGAAGGAATACTGAAATCTAGCTATACACTGACATTATCTCTTGAGTGTGTTTCGATATCCCTGCAACAAAACCCTAACCTTTTCCTCTAAGAGTTGTTTTCAAAAAACGTGCCTTATGCATTATTGTTAGGAGCCCCGCTTTGAGAGACGTGACAGAGAGGACTGGGCTTCTCTGCTGTGGGACAGCCCTTCCAGGGAATGTGCTGGGCAGACTACTCCACCACTCTGTCTCCTCTGACACTTCTCATCAGAGGCTCAGTAGCGATAAAAGCGTTCAATTCCTGGCAGACATTTTTATTTTTGGTTGGTACGTGCTGGCAGACCACAGTGATCACATTCCTTCTGGAAAGTGGGTACATATACATAGTGTGATTGACTCTTTTTATCCCGTCCTCTCCCTTCCCCACAGCCTCCGTCTCTTGGTCTCCTTCCCTTTGGCAAAGATCTATTTATTTCCTATAATCTAACTTTTATTTCTCTCTTTATTTATATCTTGGGTTTCTCATATAAGAGAAGCCATGAGATGTTTAAACCTTTGTGTCTGATTTATTACACTTAACTTTATGGTCTCAAGGTGCAGCCATTTTCCTACAAATTAATCAAATTGATGACAGAGTAGTGTTCCATTGTATTTAAATATCATGTTTTCTTTATTCACTTATCTGTTGAT